TTCACATCTCCACATTCTCACATCTCCACATCTTCACATCTCCACATCTTCACATCCCCACACCTTCACATCTTCACATCTCCCAGTTCTCCAAAAGGAACATGTTTGTATTTAAAAAACAAAATCAAATCCTTTTCACTTCTCTTCACTGCCCTTCACATTTCTCACTTCTCTTTGCATCTTTCTTTCCCCTGATCTTCAAATTTTTTCACTGCTATTCACATCTTTTCACTGCTCTTTCCATCTTTTCATTGCTCTTGGCATCTCTTCAGTTCTTGTTGACATCTTCACCAGGCTGGCAACGATATGCTTCAATAGCTTGACATCCTCCTCGTCACCAAGAGGTAAGCCCTCATCATCACATGGTTGCCGTTGTTGCGAAAAACAGTGCCAACTGGCCGCCGCTCCACTCGCGCAACCACTCACGTCACTTCGGCACAATTCGAAGCCTTAGGCGCTTGGATGGGTGGGTCACCTGTAAAGATGCCTTCTTTGCATCCTTAATAGGCTCGTTCACAAGCTGGCTCACAGCATCACCCAGTTCCTTGTGTTCCTGGGATTGTTGCGCCTGAAGATATGCCCACTCTTAGGCCTCTGGCCAAGTACGTGCGCCATTGATGCAGTGGCTCTCCACAGGGTCATGCGGCTGTTGCGATAGTTGACTGGCGTTGATCTATCACAGATAGCCTCCAGCCACTAGTTGGTTTTGGCCTCTAAGTCATAGGCCACTGGCACCACACAGTTCTGCGACACAGTCGCTCAAGCGAGTACTCTTGTTCTTCCCTTCCAACTTGGGCATCATTTGGTGCCTCCAGGCAATGATTGTTTCCTCTGTCAGGACACCGGCAATCTCGCAAGCGAATGCACTCACAGACAGATAATTACTAAGTTGCTAAGTTACTTACATGTGTGTTAATTACAAAACCCTTTCTAGGTGTTTGCCACAGTACGTGACCGTGGTAAGCCAGCAATGCCAAAACAGAAATGGCTAACCAGCCAAAGTTTTAAGGGTATTTTTTGGGGCTCCACATTTCAGGGGGCTATCACTCACAATTGAGTGTACAAACTCCAAGGGATCAATGTGAGATATGATTACAACTAGATGATGATTAATTACACTTTCACCCCAAACCTTCCCTCCGGTTTCCCCTTCTAAGAGTGCATCCTCTTGGGAAAGGTGAGAGTGATCTGCCTCTATTTAGGCAGAAAGAGGGTTTCCTAAATGTGATATTATACTAAGAAGGTTTAAGGTTCAGTGTTGATTGGATTTGGGTTCTATCCACATACCCAACCCCAGCACCATACCCCAGGCCACAGCCATGTCCTGCTTTCTTCTTTTGTGGCCTGCCAAAAGGGAGAACAGGGGATGTGAAGTCTGGGGGTGTGATGGGATGGTCTGAGATTCACACGGTGGGCCAAGACCCAAACAGATAGTTCAATTGTGATTTCATGTTTGAGGTCTCAATGAATTTTGGGCCAAGACCCAAACCAGGACCCAACATCCCTTTTGTTCATTCGAAGCCCTCTGGCAACGCAATGTGATCTCTTGCCAAAAGTGAACCATGATGTATCATAACAGATTTAATTTATTTGCTAAATATGGAGTTCATCCATGTTCATCCTATGATCAACCTTGGTTTCATTTCGAGATCACTGGGCCAGAAACACCTTTCCATTTGGAATAGTGACATCCTGAACCATCAAAATCAAAGCTCTTTGCGGTTGCAGCCCACTCAGGCTTTGCTTGAGCTGCCAGCCCAATGTGGTCGCCCTGCCCTTCCAAGCAGCGACCGGCTTCAAGAATTTGGCAGCTTGGCTTTGGTTCAGCTTAGCAGCATCCTCCTCCTTGACCATGGTGCACAGGACACAGTGCTCCTTTGGGGGGGGCAGGTTTTGGATGGTTGCAGCCAATCAGTTTTGGATCCTTCAAGTGATGTTGAGACTTCACAACTACATCCCAAAACTATTATGTATGAACATGGTGTGCTTTTTGAACAACCATGAAATGGGCAATCCTGCTTCAAAATCCACTTTCCATCAGGGTCTTTGCTCGTTTTGTGGTACGCGATCTTGCCAGCAGTCGGTTTGCCAGATTGGATGTTTGCATCAAGGTGCTCTGCTATGGTACCAAATTTGCCATCAACAAGTGCAAAACTCTCTGCATCAACTTCAAAAGTGATGTCAGAGTCACCGATCAGAGATGCATCTTTGGGAGCTTCCCGAAACTTCGTTTTGCCAAAGCCACAAAGAACTGAACCACGCTGCATGGTAACCTCAAAGCAGTAAATTGATGGGATTGGTCAAATAGACATGTGTTTAGTAAGTTCCATTCAAGATTAACTGTCTCATGATGTTTGTCCATGAGCTTGCAAACACAATAGTTTGGAGAAACTATTCACAGTCACAGGAAACATGCTCTAAATTTCAAATAAGAGGGCATCTTGGCCAGTCTCATTCAAGATGTAGGGTCCAACTTTCTCAGTGACCCGAAAAATGGGCATGGTGGCCAACTTCTGCGAAGCCCGGGCATTGACCACTGGCACCTCCACCAGACATTGATCCCCCTCAGGCACCACACTGCTGGCATCGACCAAGCGGTCACTGAGATCAACTTCCAAAGGACGCTTCTTTGGCAAGGGGGTGGTGATAGGGCCAGAGACATCCTTCTCATTCCGTTTTGGTTTCGATTTGAAGGTCTTGGTCGGAGGGTGCCGCAAAAGGAATGCATCATAGTAGATCTTGAAGTCATCCATTGACCCATACTTCTTCACAATGGCATCAGGGATTTCCAGGGTCACAATGTGGCCATCCACCTGAACAGGATGTCACCACAAAGCCCCAAACCTTAAATCTCATGATTGAAAAACATATATATGTCAAAACAGTGGAAACCCACATCACCCATTACCAGCCTTCCCATAGGTACATTGTTTCAACACAGGAGGTTCAGGGGGTGCTTCAAGATGTTCTGCGGGTGGATCTTCCTGGAGCCTGCAGGGGTTGTGATAAAAAGGAACCCTTAACCCACATCAAGGATATGTCTCAAAGTTTTGACATTAACATTCTTTCATGGTAACAATTTGAAAATCAGATGGAACCATATGATGTCATTTGTATCATGAACCCAGCCTCTCACACCCAGGCACCTTCAGCTCACCACGCTGGAACAAGGAAACCAATTCCCCTGTCCAGAACATGTCGCTCCAATCCTTGTGGTTTATGTCATTGTAAATGGGCACATACAGGGCCGGTGTGTTGATCTTCTCTGTCATGCGCTGAAACCCCTCCAGGAAATTGCCCACATTGGGGCAGCAGTCCACCACCACCAATCCCATGGAGGAAGTAAAGGCAACTCCATCCTGAGGTTGCTAGATTTGAGGTTCAAAGTTCAACATAGTATACTTTTTGTCCATGTAGACAGATGTGTGTTTACAATTGCACTGTATATGCCAATGTGTGAATAATGTGTGATGATACATGTACTTAATAACATGATCTTCTACATTATGATCTTGGTCTCCACTAAGTATCATGTCCACACACCCTAGACCACCCAGACCATTCAACAGCAAGAAACAATGCTGGACATCAAGAGCTGCTCAGCTGCATCACCCCCAATCTGGGAGTACTTCTGCGCCCCGTGAACGTTGGTGAGTGAGGATGGCAATGCAGTGGGCGAAAGATCTTCCATGTGGATCATGCTTTTCGAGGGGACTTGGCGGGCTTCTCCTAAGGTTCTCCGATTCTTGTTCAAGGATGAATCCTTCCATAGCCATTTCACCCCATCAGCCAAAGAGGAATCCAGTGGCCCAAGGAACCGTCCCGAATATGCAAGGGGCCGTTGGTCCCTGGCATCCTAAGATGAACATGAAATCAACATTGACCAGAATGATGTGGGGTTTTGAAATCAATGTGACCAACCAAAACCTTCCCCAGAAAGTAAGTTAACAAATTTAGATTTCTATTATTTGTTAAGGAACCACTTTTGACTTGATGTCAAAGAGGAGCTGAAAGCCGGTGTCAACTGCACACCCAGTGTTCGACAATGTGCGCAGCAAACCATACTCCTCAGTGAACAAATTGCCTTTCCATACGAAGCAGGGCGACAGAAAGACCCCAGCACTGGTCTCAGCAGAGGCAGCCATCATATGCCCCATCAAATGGAGCACACATGGGGTAACCTCTGACTTGAGCAAGGAGGGAGATGTGAAGTTCGCCATGAAGAGATAAGCCTTAGGTCAAATGAGAGATCATCTAACAAGAAGACCACAAGGATGGGTATAAGACTATAAGACCACAAGGGCAACTAATGACAGGATAAGAAAGAGGGTCCATCAATGTCAAATAAGTACAAGATGACAAGATCATCTAAAATCAATGATGGTGAGTAACAGGGGTACGGAGTTGGAGCGATTGCATCCATATCTTGGCCGATTCCTCAACCTGCTGCATGACATTGATAGCTGTAGCACCATCAATTTTTTCTGGCCAGCAATGGGAAGTGACCTGTTCAGGGAGGTGACCATGTGACCATGATCTTGGCTCTATTGGACAGGCCAATATTGAAACACATGTTTTCAACTTACCAACCTTCGCATCAAACCATTTGTAAACCGATGTTTTGGCACGCTCCATTCGTTTCTGAATCCACTCATTTTTTTGGTGGGAGAGCCGGATCTGGTAGGAATCGGTTTTGGACACGTAGGCAGTCATGCATTTCTCATCATATTCCAGCTCTTGCAGCAAGAGCATCAGGGCTGATTTATCCAAAGACTGTTTGGCCCCATCAAGGTCACCATCAGTCACACTGCCACGGTCCTTTTTGTCAGGGGCCATCTCATTGAGGATGCTCATGATACCTATGCATGCAGGTCAAGGCATTCAATATTCAGAATATTACCCTTTTCAATAACATGCATGTGAGAAACAGTTCATAGAATTAACATTGACTTTGGACAGCGTCATACCCAGTAGGTTTTTCATGCCACTGTGTCCAAGGTACATGCATTCTCACGTGGAACCCAATCATCTGCCTTTGCTTCTGCTGCCCCAAGGAGACCCATTTCAAGAACTGCGTCACCCTTCCGCAGTCGATCCACGAACCTCAACAGTTTCTTGGCCAGGAAGCAGAGTGGGATGGGGGTTTGGGGTTTGGGGTTTGATGTGTTCCTGTTGCATGTATATTATGTATATCACACATTGATTGTATCACACATGATATGATATTGAAACAATTGAAAGAGGCTTCATCTGAGACATGTATCCAAGGAGCTTCTCTTGGAGCACCATCTCCACATTTGGGATTTGAGTAGAAAGTTCTTCAACCACAGCACCTGAGATTCAATGCAAGATTTTATTAATTGTTGTTGGTGTTTGTACTTTGGGGATCTTTGAACAAACATTCTGTGGATACCTTTGAACAAACATTGGACAGATAGAATGATGAAGAACTAACAGTAACAAGGCACATGCAAGGGCGCAAACCACAAATTGTTCTTTCAACTGTGTACGGCTCAGTGGTCGTCTCCGCTCAATGGATTTCAGGATACCCCACTGGTTACTGACCATTTGGAGGGCCAAAAGACAACTCTCTGGGGTGTTCTTCAAGCGGTGCTGCCACTGACTCGCCTTGGAGGAACGGGCGCTCTTGTGGTTGAAGTTCGGCAACAGCTTCTTGCTCTGCAAAGACTCGTCACTGAATGGGCAGCCTGAGATGGCAGGAATTTTGGGATCCAATTTTGGGACCTTCACAATAACTTGACTCAAATATGTCATCATGATAATACAATAGTTAAGCCCAGTAACCTTCCCATCCAAACTCTGAAACAGTGTCAAGAATGACATCCCGGCAGGACTGGGGCAAATGGAACAGGTTGGTGACACTCATAGCCTTTGCCCCAACAAGTTTGTCGCTGCGAGCGCAAATTGCATTCCTTGGTTCCAATGGGCCCTGGGAGGACAATCCTGGACATGAGAAAAATCAAACATGAGTCTATATGGCATTCATTCTTTCCCAATCAAGTTAAAATCACCTGGTCAAGTATCCATTGTTTGATCACACCCGACGTGTCCAGAGCATGGTTTCCAGGAAATGTGTTTGACAATGAAACCACCCAAGAGATTGCCGAGGGAGCCTTCCTGATCGCACCACGCACAGATTTCTTCATGTTGAAGAACCTAGGCAAGACAAGGCAAGACACTTGAGTTGAACATCATGGGACCAATGCCAGCTCCCAAAATAGTGAATCACTGATTGTATCAAAGAAACAGTTCTTCTTGTCGAGTTTGAAGGCGAATATGTTTGCACTTGATGGACTGCAGCCCCTTGAGCAGGATCTTTGGCACCTGCCATATGAAACATGCATGTTCATGCCCAAACCATGATGATGCAAAACTATGCCCACTTCATGCAAAACATGATGATGAACACTGTGCCCAGGATGGCACCTCAATTCCCATCTGATTGCAACATACCACAGCTGCAATCGCTGTAGTCACTCGTGCTGCACCCTTCAGGAAACCTATGCTTCCATCCTGGATTGCGCCCACTTGCCAAGGTGGCTGTCCTGCAAGTAGTACAGTTGGGCACAATGGATATGGAAGTGTTCAAACATGAATAGGTGATGGACAAAAGTAACAGTTAGCAATTATTGCATTTTTGTACTGAACACACTGGGTCCTTCAACCGGATTGTGATGGGTTCATCATTTGTTACAAATCCATCTACTGCAAATTGCCAAATCAGCTGGCTTGCCACTACCAAGCTGGTCGGTTCTCTAACAGATGCCCAGTTCTCCGCACTGAAGTGGTGCAACTGGATGAGGATGGAAGCTTGTTCATCTTCCTGACCTGAGACCAGTGTTTGATCAACATATATCATGGCATATGTCAATCATTGTTTCTGCAAAATTGCCTTGACACATAGTAACTCTTAAGGCCCCAAACCTGATACATGTAGTCAAGTAGCCAGGGAAACAAGCAGGGACTGGATAGTGATCACAGTAAGTCTGAGTTGGTGCAGGGGGCACCATTTTCCGAAGTAGATCACCAAGTTGAGTGGGACGCGAATTTGCAATTGGAAAAGCTTGGTGAATGAACTGCCGAGGGCCACCAGCACCTAGGAACACAGCCAGTCAATCAGACTCAGAGTGTGTTTCATATATTGCTACATGATTTCAAATGCATGCTCCAAAATGTTCCAAAAATAGGTTGTGACCCTTATTCATCAAAACATGGAGTCAATATTGACTTGGAACCAGGGCACCTTTGATTAGAGTCAGGATCTTTTCAAAAACCAGCTCATCAGAAGTTGCACTCAGATCCAATGCTGTACTGGTCCCAACCCCTGATTGCAATTCCGATGCCGCTTCTGAAGGCCCATAGGCTCCCGCCGATGATAGCGAAAGTGTCTTGGCACCATCCATGAAAGGCCGGCCATGGGCAGAGGGCGAAGCTGTTGCTGTGCTTTCCTCATCGGGCAGTTGGAAGGGCACCAGGACTATCTAGGAGCTTTGGTGGAAGGGTTAACAAGAGCTCTTTTTGGGTATGCTGGTCACATGCTATGATACTTATGTCATGACATGGCGTGAATACACTGAGTCCATGAAAGGTTGGGAACCAATGATTGCAGCCAGAAGTCAGTTTCAAGCATATCCTCCAATTTGACATCTGCATCGCCACCAAAATCAAACAACAGTTCCTCATCCTTAGTAGCAGGTAGCTGGATTGGACCCTTGACAATCTGATTTTGTCATAGTACCAAATCTGATTTGATGTTCATGTTCTCGCAAGCATGTTGCTGATTAACACTTTGTTTAATAGTGCACACCTGCATCCCACATGAACATACGCAATGTCATATGCATATACTGTTATTTTAACATGAATATGGCATGGATTGCATGCAAATAATACCTATATATAGATGAAGGAGGTCAAAGCCAACATGTTCCCAATTGAACATGTCCCCACAGTATAACCACAGGCAAAGGGACAGAAAGTTGGCTTTCGCTCATGATTGCCGCGGAGTAGACAAACTTAATCCAAAATCTCTTGCAAACTTAAATGTTGCCAGTTTTGGCACCCCTTGCAGATCTCCAACTGCAAATTTGACATGTTGACTTCTGCTGGTTTCAATTGATATCTAGCTAAGTCTAGGGGGATTGCAGGTTGCTGCACATATCCAAGATCAATTGTTAGATGTTGACTTCTGCTGGGACTCTGGAACCCCCAGGAGATTAGACAGCCTTCAATTGAACACAGTAGATCTTGAGGTGTGATTTTGATGGTTTGAGTTCTGCAGAAGTAGCTAGAAATTGTAATACTTTTTCGTGCATGTTGATTGTGGTCGCTACGATGTCCCTCTCAGAATCCCCGATTTAGAAAGTTTTCGGATGAAAACTTTCTAAATCCATGATTTTCCGACCCCAAATCAACCGCCTGGTAAAATCATTGGTTTTTTTTGCATGGTTTCCCAATCCCAATGTATCCAGATTCTTGTCATGGTTTGAATTCCACAGTATCCTTGAAATAATTAGTAGTCATGACCCAAGCCCTCTAATGCCAGCGCTTTTCCACCATCCCATGGTCCTTCACAGTTGCAGCTGAGGTCATTGGTCACTTCGACCGACTGGCCTCCTCAGCCAACAGTGCCTCGCAAATGGAATGGACTAATGGATCAGGGTAGATCTGCGCTGCCTGTGAGCGTTTCATACCACCTTCACTCCCAGAAACCACTTGATGGATGTGATCTCCAGGACAAAACTTGCCATTTAGGGCATTCATCAAATGACCTGAATTGGTCATGATCCTGGTCCTTTTTTTGACTGGAGTTTTGGATTGAAGCGACTTCAGACCAAATTGACATTGGTCAAACTCAGCAATCTGCACAGAGCTGTGGCGCAGGACATGCTTTACCTGAGCATGGGGTGTGTGCAACAGTGGGCCTTGGGGATTGAACTCCAGACAATTTATACAATAGTGATAATAGTATATGATATAATAATCATCAGATTTAACTATCATGACATAGGCTAACCACAAAGATGATTTGGGGTTTGCCATGAATTGAAACTTGATCCCTCAAAGATTGTTCAACATCATCCAACTAACAATACAAAATGCAGGTGAGTTACACTGTCACGCTCCCATGCCAAACTTCCAATTGGATGTTCAAACCCAAACAAGTTTCCATTCACAACTTGAATCTCTGCAACGCACATCGACAGATCTATCAACATGAGGGCTTGAAGTAGATTCAACACACGCTTCTTCAGAGCTATGCGTCCCCAGTTGGAATACTGAAGTGCACAAACCCATGTGCATGGCGGGGAGAGAAAGATGCTCAGTGGCTGTAATGCTGCAATGTCTTGCAGCAGTGTGCGCTGCAATGAGGTTTCACCAAGGTCCCAGAAGTTGCGAATACAAGTAGTTCCCGGGCAAGCCGGCGGCGGAAGTTTCCTATAAGAACACATTGACCTATAGGAGTGTCCACGTTCTCTCCACCATGCGTGTCCCTCGTGTCACTCACTGAGCCAAACGCATGCGCTCCGGACTTTTGACACACACACACACACACAGCGCCACCTGTGCAAGGTCTGTGCTCCCTGCAGGATCAGCGCACTGGGTTGTGTCTATGCCAAAGCAAGATCACCAGCCCACACCGGCGTGCTGAAGCAACTGGGCATCTGCAAGCGAAAGTTAAGTGCAGCTGGTGCGGGCACGCGAAGTGGGTGGTGTTTTCAAAGTCAAAATCATGTCTTCATTGTCCAGCTTGCCAAATACTCCGCGTACTTTACAGTCTACAAAGTCGCCAGTTCTCATTTTCCAGCTCCCCAGATACTCAGCAGCGAGAGATGACTCACCAGCGAGAGATGACTCAGCAGTGAGAGATGACTCAGCAGCGAGAGATGACTCAGGAGCAAGAGATGACTCACCAGCGAGAGATGACTCATCCGCGTACGAAAGTTGTACTACAAAGTCGCCAGTTCTCAGCTTCTAGCTGCACAGATTGCTCCGCGTACTCAAGTTGTAGTACAAAGTCACCAGTTGCTCTCTGGCTTGCTAGCTAGCGCCTTCAAACCATGGTCAGCTACATGTACGGATCCCAAAACAAAAGCAAGTCACACCCAGTCAACCCAGTCCAACCGCTGGTTCTTTCCAAACAGTGTCCCTAGTCATGGTCAGCTATACGTACAGAATCCAAAACAAAACAAATCATACCCAGGCAACCCAATCCGACTGGACGGGTTCCAAAACAAAAACAACATGCGTGTCCCTGGTCAGTCGCACGCCCTCCGGACTTTTTGACCACCACAGTGCCACCTGTGCAAGGTCTGTGCTATACCAAGGCAAGATCAGCAGCCCACACCGGCGTGCTGAAGCAACTGGGCATCTGCAATTGAAAGTTAAATGCAGCTGCTGCGGGCACGCGAAGTGGGTGGTGTTTTCAAAGTCAAAACCATTTCTTCCAACATTTGGTGTGCTCCTCCGTGCAAAAACAGCGAAACTGTTCCTCGTCGGGCAACGCATTTTCCGGCTGTCTGCGCGGTCCACAGCGACGCACGCAGATCGATGCCTCCCGACAAGAGCCAGGAATGGTTCACCCAGCGCCTCTGGCAGGGCTGGACAAGGTGGAACAACGGGCGGCGGGGGTGGTTCTCTAGCTACGAGGGTGGTGACATGACGTGGGTCACACCACCGCGCGTCGGAATGAATTTAGTTACAGAGGATTTCGAATTTACAATTTCCACCGCAACGCAGGTCACAACACCACACGCCACGCAGAAAAGCATGAGTGCTTCAACACTCGCGCACCAACTCTGCGCTGTCTCTCCATCTCGATGTACACCTCAAATAAGAAACAACTACAATTAAGAAAGGGCTTCGGAAACACATGACATCCATGGTCCGTAGAAAAGCTCTCCTCTTTTTTTGCCCCCACAGGCAGCATAAAGGAGCCAAGCCTACGGCAAACGAAAGTATTGGCGAAGCAGCCCGCAACGGCATACTCCAGGACAATTCCTGAGAAGCTGTGCAGGCGAACGAAAGTATTGGCGGAGCAGCCCGCAACGGCATACTCGGGGGTCTAACCTAAGCAGCATGTCGTCCCGGCTGTCTGCGCGGTCCACAGCGACGCACGCAGATCGATGCCTCCCGGCCATAGCAAGGAACGCGGATCACACCACCGCGCGTCGGAGTGATCAAGAGCTGCCTGTCACGACCTGTTGCAGGGGGATGACACTACCAACTTGCAGAGAGCACATCCACAAAATATTTGGAACAAAAAGCATCTTCCACAAGCAGGGGTTTTCCTGCGTGTAGAGGGCAGTT